GTCTCAAGAGTTGTGGCTCAACCACTGCTGTTATTAATTATAGTGAGTTAATTAATTAAATAAAAACAGCCTAATTGTATCTTGTAACATATTAAACCAAAATTATTTTCAATTTCTTCCTTATTAAATATTCAATAATAATTAAAATAAAACCTCTTCATAACAAAGTCAGTGAAATTTAATATTTTTTGAAATGGTCCTATCTAGTTGCTTAAGTTACTGTTTCCTCATGTTTGGTTTGTTATGAAGTCCAAGCTTCATATTTTAAATATATTACAGTATAATGGCCAGTCTTCGCGAGCGAAGATTTGGGAAAGGTCATTAACCCTTCCAGCCTGCGCAGTGGATTTTTTAGGTGAGACACAGCGTGCGCTGAACTGAGCCCACCCTTTAGTCCTGAGGTTCATCTGCCGGGGCCGAGCAAAGCTTGGACAGTGGCAGTGAGGTCCCCAGGATGTAGGTTTGTTTAGAGTGACCTTCTCTTAGGTGGATTGCCTTCCACGGCTGACGAGCTCCACCTGCCCAGGGGGCCGGGAATCGAACCCGGGTCGCAGCGGTGAGAGTCAGACACTCTAACCACTAGACCACCAGAGGCCCCATTACAGTATAAAGTTGTTTTAATTAGACTAAACAAGTACATCATATTTTATAAATAAATATAAAAGGTTAAAATTTATTTTGAAATTCTAAGTGAAGGAACAGAATAATCCTGTGGAAGAGGACTTTAAAAATTTTAAATTTCAGCTCCACTCCAAAGACAAGTTAAAGCCAAATATCCTGGAAGTTTCTGAATTGGGGATTATCAGAATAAAGATATCTTTCTGATCTTTCCTTCCTTTGTATTCTTAAAAAACAAACAAGTAAACAAAAACCCCACAAACTCTTTTGCAAGACTTTGGACCTTTTGTGCTTGGGCAAGAAAAAGGGAAGCTTACACCCCAAGAGACTGGAGAATGATGGGCAGTAACTGGTACCTACACTTAAACACTAATTAGATATTCACTCTCCTTTATTTTGAATGTTTGTGCCAACCCAGAAATCTCAATTTGCTATGGTAATTAGATAGACTTTCTGCATAAATAAGGCTATATTAAGACAGTTTATGTGGATAATATTTTGTTCATAGGCTTGATTCATGATCACTTCCAATTTAATTAATTTATTTTTATGGGAGCGATAGGAAAGTCATACAACTGCACCCCTGCAGCATGTACCTGTGGGCCTTCTGTTTAAGTGTTTTTCAATAACAGAGGTAAGTTAATGCTGGGCAGATGGAATTTACATAAGTGGTGTTTTTATGTACATGTGCAAAAAGAACTCCTTTTTTATTGTAATATGACTCACAAACATTCCCAAAGGGAAGAAATCTGTTATTACTTTGTATCCTCGTTCTTATACATGGTAATCATTGTATGAACAAACATATGCACAAAAAAAATCCTGTATCTTGGATTATAAGCAGTAATTATCACTGCTTAATATATCTGTGACAATGTTAGTAACCATCTGATAGGGAATGCTTGTGCTATTTTGCATTCATTCAGGCTTTCAGTAATTTTTTTGAGTACTTAAGAAAATTCAGTATAGCTCAGCTGTGACTGAAATATTAGAGAGTGCTACAAAATCTGCTTGATTATATCAGTCAATACTGCATCAGAAATTTGAAATTTATGCATTGCAAATATGCCCCTAAACTGAAGCAGTCCATGGCTTGTACTCGACTCTACTAAAAACTTTTTCGTACTTACTTTTTTGTTTTCCCACTGCAATAAATATCATGCAATAAGGATAATTACTTTCATTCTGGGAACATTTGTTATGAACTTGATACTGCAAACCTTGACAAGAGGCACAGGACAGAACTTCACTCCTGAAGCTGTGGTTTGCCAGGCTGTCTGGGGGCATGTTCTGCTGACATCCAGAGAATCTCCAAAAGGATGTGTGATGAAGCAGGCAGCTGCAGGCATTAAAGTTAAGATTCCCAGAGGAATTTGTGGTAGTGCATTGAGTTTCATAGCCAGGTTTTGGTAGTGTTTGAGGCTACAGGGGTGGCTTCTGTGAGAAGCTGACAGAAGCTTCCCCCAAGTCTGGTAGAGCCAATGTCAGCTGTTTCCAGGATGGACCTGCTGCTGGCCAAAGCCGAGCCAATCAGGAATGACAGTAACACACCTGTGATAACATATTTAAGAAGGGAAAAATTTATTGTGCAGATGAAAATTGCAGCCAGAAAAGACCAGAGTGAGAACATGTGAACAACTGTGCAGACACCCAGGTCAGTGCAGAAGGAGGGGCAGAAGGTGCTCCAGGCACCAGAGCTGAGGCCCCTGCAGCCCGTGGTGCAGACCATGGTGTAGCAGCTGTGCCCCTGCAGCCCATGGAGGTCCACAGGGGTGCAGAGACCCACCTGCAGCCCATGGAGAAGCCCATGATGGAGCAGGTTGATGCCCAAAGAAGGCTGTGACCTCGTGGGAGGCCCAAGCTGGAGCAGGGTCCTGGCAGGGACCTGCTGACCCATGGGTAGAGGAGTGCATGCTGGAGCAGGTTTCCTGGTAGGATTCGTGGCCCTATGGGGGATTCACACTGAAGCAGCCTGTGCCTGAAGGACAGACCCCATGGAAAAATGACCCATGTTGCAGCAGTTTCGTGAAGAACTGTTGCCTGTGGGATGGACTCACACTGGAGAAGTTTATGAAGGACTGTCTCCTGTGGGAGGGACACCACGGGGAGCAGGGGAAGGACTCCTCTCCCTGAGCAGAGGCAGAAACAACCTGTGAAGAACTGACTGTAACCCCCATTCTCTGTCTCCCTGTGCTGCTGGAGGGGGAGGAGGAGGAGGTAGAACTTGGGAAGGAGAGAGGGATGGGGGGAAGGTGTTTTTAAGATTTATTTTACTTCTCATTCTCCTGCTATAACTCTGTTAGTAATAAATTTTATTAATATCCCCACACTGAATCTACTTTGCCCGTGATGGTGATCAGTAAGTGATCTCCCACTGTCCTTTTCTCAACCCATGAGCCCTTTGTTATATTTTCTCTCATTTGTGCACTTGCAGAGGGGAGTGACAGGGGTATCTGTCATCCAGCTGGGGTCGACCCACTACAGGTAGCAAACCCTAACTTTTATGTACATTGTATCCCTGCCTGAGAAGTTCTCAGGGAGGACATGCACAAACATGGAAGCCTCACTTCAACCAATGAAACAGACCCTAATTAGCCACAGGAAAGCAGAGAGGAAATGCTTGTGGTTGAAATAATTTTTCTTCTTTCCAAGAAACTAAAAACATTTTCTGAGACTGACAGAGTGGCCCATGTCCAACTGGGACCTATCACTTTCAATCTCTTTTAAAGGGAGGTTAGAGAGTTGAGGATAATTCCAAGATATGATCGTAAAATGTCCTTGAGAGGAGTGTCTCTCCTTTTTTATCATGAGATCAGTGATTACAGTGCACACTTGACAAGGGGAAAAATTTGTTTGATACCTGTCACTGTGTAAGTAGTTCTCAGAGTGCTCCAAATGAAGACTTTGGTTATCTGAAGGAATGCAATGGCAAAAGCCTTCAACTTAGGTTGTTAGCTGATCCAGGACCTTGAGGATCTGCCAGTTTTTACAGAATGCAAACACCTCTGGGTGCTGGAATAGGAAAAGTATCAGGCACATTAGCCAGAGAAAGGCTTCTATAGATGTAAAGTGTAGACAGTTTCTCTAGGGGGTTTTTGTTTTTGTGTTATTGTTATCTTTTAGCTTATATATTTTTTCTGACATGTTGAGGTCAGACTATAGGAGGGATTAGGAAGGGAGGAAAAGGTAATTCATCTTGTAATAGTCCTTATGTTCAGAAAGCATTTGAGGAACATGCAAGAAGAAGTAATAAAAATATTCAGCTCAGATTTACTCACTCCATATATCAGAAAATGCCTGGTTTACAATGTACACACCTAGAAGCTGCAGTGTACCAAACATTACAGTGCAGTCTCATTAAATCAGAATAGAAATTTGAAGCCAGTTTTTCAGTTTCAATTGCTGATTTTCACTGTTTTTAAAGAAATCTAAAATTCTACAAATTGAGGTGCAAAACTGTGAATCTTACTTATAATTCATTTTGATTCTTACACAATTCCTGAAGGGATTGAAACTGGTGGTTTTCTGTGATATGTATATGAAATAGACAGCTTGGAATATATGAGTTCATCGCTTTTCACAGTGTGAAATGTGTATGCTAAAGCTAAGTTTTCCTAGCCTCAGAATTTATAATCTTTATGGTGTTTTGGCCTACCATTAGTAGAAAGAGGGAAGGTTATCCCCTATGAAATGGAAAAACCTATAGGCAGTCTAGGACTCAGCTTTCCTGCTCTAAACCCTCAGATATTGTGTTGCATCCAATTGGTTGAGTTGGTTCCTATCTTCTGAAAGTAATCAGTAGTTCTTACTGTAATTAACTGTATCAGAGAAGGAATCCCAGGTAATATTCCTATACACTTAAATATCTACTGCTTATACTTAATTGCACCAGTTTCCTGTATTAAAAAAAAACACTGGGGCCATTTGATGATCTGTTTGCTGAGGTCATCTTGTTTTTGAGGGTTTAGACATTTAATATATGATGCAGGCTGCATATTAGTTACTTGGACATCAGAGAGCAGTTCTTTAGGCAATGGCCTCAGTAGACAAAGTTGCTTAATTCAGGGGTTTAACAGAAAAATCTGAGAGAAGAGATACTACACTGGATTTTTTCCAATTTGGCCAGCTCTAGGAAGACTACCTGTTCAGCATGTGATCCACCAGTTGTCTGTCATGTTAGTTGACTCTTTGTTTCTATACAGCTTAATTATTTTTGCTTTATTGTATGTAAAATAGTTGAATTAGAGATAATTCCCAGTCTCTCATGAAGAGCTGAATGAAGCTGCAGGTTAACAAAAGCCTTTTCTTCTCATATTATTTTTTAATCTATTGTATAAATGCCAAAAGCAGGATCCACTTTAACTAGAAGGAAGACAGATGATGTGATATACAGCTACAAGAAGCAGTAGCAGATATCGATTGATGACAGTATGACCCTCATCATGGAGACCCAGCATGAGACCTATAACAGAGGAACAGGGGAACAAAGACATATGGCAAAAATGAGAATAGTGCAAAAAACCAAAGCTGATAACTTTGCTTATTGCTGTGACTGGTTGTGCTCATGTAATATTTCACTAAATGCAAGAATTAATTATGAGTCTCAGTGTTGATTTTGTTTTTTGACAAAAACAATAGCAAGTCCTCTGAATGTTGCTTGGTTTTATCCAGGGTGAAGCTGACTGACAGAGTCAGATATTGCTTCTTCATGAATGTTGATTTTATTCTGAGAAGATTCATTAGCAACACTCCAACACTGTACAATCAGGTTAATCTCTATGACTCAAATATTCTAGCTGTATTTTCCGCAGAAGCTGCTTTTGCTTTCAGGATAATATAAACAGCAAATTTTATTGTCTTGCTATATTTAAAACCAGATGGTTGGCCCACTTAACCCCAGGCAAACATTGCAATTCCTCATTTGTCAGACAGATTTTTGGTATTTTGTTGCTGACTGAAGCACCAGGGTTTAGAATCATTGCTAAGTTACACAGCACCATATTTCTTCTACAAGTCTGTTTATGTGTTTTGTACATTTATATATTATAGAAACATATCCATTCTGCTGCTGACCAAAAAGTATGAACTGTAATCTAAAACACATACATGAAACATTGAAAAAGAAAAAAATCTGCAACTGATAAATAATTCCTTGTTTGCAGGTATATCCAAATTTGGAATCATCAACACAAGCAACGACTGACAAAATAATGACATTATCTTTTGAATCAGAAATTGCCAATTATGATCAGTTGAGTTGAGCTTAGCAGAGGAACAATTCCAATTTGTTTGTTTCCAAGATGTGTAAATATTTACAGCTCTTTTTTTTATCATCATTAACCTTTTCTCTGACTTTTTTTCTGCCAGGGAAGTTATATCAGTCAGTATGACACAGAGATTATATTGAATGATCACTTTGAGACCAATGCTAGTTGACAACAAAATACCTGCTGACCAGAACTTTACATAGAGAGCTTTACATATCTAAGATCTATTATGAGATTTCCATCTGTAATCACAGTCTTCTGATATCTTCTGTGCTACAAAATCCATCTGTATCTCTGTGTAAATCTTAAAAAGGAATTGGGTGGACAACTTTGACTTCTATTCCATAGGACACAATAGTTTTACTTGAAATTGCATCTCATTCTGAGGCTTTGAAAATGTTTGTTCTATTTTTCCTGATCAGTGAGTTCTCTGTTTTTTCCATGGCACTTACAAGTTCTCATTTTCTTCCGTGTTTACTTTTTCATTGAGGATCCTGTGAGACCTTTCAGTGTCATCCATCTCTCTAGCCAAAGGCAACAGTCAGCAACTCAGAGCTGCTTCATAGTAATCAGCATTTGTGTTTTCCAAACTCGGGGACTATAACTGCTAATAGAGACAGTTAGCAAAAGCCAAACTCTGCAAAATATAAAGTGAAAACTTGTTTCAAGCCTATTAAAAGAATCCAAGAACCCCCCCCCGAAAGACAAAACCCCCCAACCAATCAAAAAAGAAAAAAACCCAACAGAAACCCCTCCCACAAAAAAATCCCAAGCGCTCTGAAAGCTGTGGCTACTGCATATGCAACAGAAACCTAATAAAGTATGCTCCAGTTATTACTGTAAGCTGAGAATCACCATGAATTGCTCTTAGTTGTGAATAAAGGTAGCAAACTTCATAAAAACTCTTTGCCAGCTAGTCAAATTGTATTAGAGCTGGAACAGCCTATGTGACTGGACTGACCTTCAACAAAATAATATGTAACCTTTTTAAAATCACTATTTAAAATCAGCCTTTTAGTCACTCTATAGAAGTGAAGCAGTGATATCTACAGATCCTGACAAAATGAGCTCTTAGTAAATACATTGCTTTATCATTTACTACACTCCATGTACACTACATATGCACTTTGGTACTAGAGAGTATTATGCTCAAAAACTTGTTATGGAAGAAAAAACCCCCACCTTATGCACAAACTAATTTATCATTAGTGTACTTGAAATCTTAGCAGTTTCATCAATGAATTATTATTAGTCCAGATGAAAGTCTTAAAAAAGTAAAAATAAAGAAAGAATAATATAGAAAGGAGTTAAAATGTTTACAAACAGTTCTCCTTTTTGTAGCATCATAGATTCACACATAGTTGCAAATCATGGGATGGCTGAGGTAATAAAAAATCTCTGAAGATCACCTAGTCCAGCCTACCTAGTAGAAGCAGGATGAACTACAGTAGGTTTCTCAGGGCCATTCCTGCTAGGTTTTGCATATCTCCAAGGATGGAGACCACAGCCTCGCCATGCAACCTGTGCCTCCCTTATGGTGAAGAATTTTTCTCTTGTGTTTAATTGCAATTTACTGTATTTCAATTCATGCGTGTTGTCTCTTGTCCTGTCCATGAGCACCGCTGAGGAGGCTTTGGCTCTGTCTTTAGTGCCCTTATGAGGTATTTGTACACATTGGTAGGATCCTCCTGAGCCTTCGCGAGGCCGAACAGTTTCAGCTCTCTCAGCCTTTCCTGACATGAGAGATGCTTCAGGAACTCCATCATATTCATGTTTTGACAAACTCACTGCTATCTCCTGATCCATGTATCTCTTCTAATGAGGAGCACAAAAATGGACCCAGCACCTTAGATATGGTGTCAGCAGGAGGGTTTTTTGTTGTTATTTGCTTATTTGTTTCTATAACGGTGGTGTGGTCACCCTTCCAATGCTCTTCTGGATTCTAAGATGAATGATTTAATTCTTGTATGTGTGGAGTGTACAGTCTGTTGTCAACAGTGTGAAATCTTTGTTGGGAGAAGTATGATCATAGTGATAGTTTCTCTTCCATACTCTAGGAGTCATTTGGGATCCATTTGGGATAAATATAAATATCCATTTGGGATATTTACTTGCTAACCAGCACTTCATCTTGCTCTTTTGTCTCTGGTCTGCAAGTTTGCATTATATTTGAATTCATTCTAGATGGCGTTTTTATCTTTGTTAATTTTTTTTTTTTTATTTTTTACTCCTAAAACTACTTTTACTGAGCTTTGTGTCTGCAAGTTGGTTTTTGCTTTCCAGTTTCTAGATTTCCAGTGCCAGCCTGTGTCCATTTTCTTGTCATTCTGGTCCATAATCCCTTTACAGCATATCGTGTGTCCCCCTGCTGCCACACCAGGCCCATATTCCTCTACACTCCATCATTATCTCAGTGACGTGAATGTTTCACTCTGCAGAGAATAATTGCTTTTATAACTGTCTTTATAAAATTATGGTTATACTTTTCAGAGATTAACAAAAAGAAAATGAATTAGGCTTATCAATCTCTTCATTAGAAAACAAATACAGTGCATCTAAACAAGCTAGAGAAAAGTGATAGAAGGGTCAAAACACTTTCAGGCAAAGCAAGCCTGACAAACTTCAGCCCTAAGGAGCAGCAAACCCAGTATAAAGCCTTTGTTTTTAGTAATGCTAAGCAGCAAGAATATATATATGAATTCCACTTTGGAGGATCCAGAAGGAATTACTGGATCATGGTAGAAAGTTCTAAAGGTTGCAAAAACAGTCTGAAAACTGGGAAAACAATATAACATATAAGTATTTTTTTCCAGTTTCAAATCAAAGTTTGCAGCGTGTTCTAAAGTGCAGGCTTGCTGAGACTGTGAAGAAGTTGTTGCTGTAATATTTAGTGAGCAAGCATAGCTTAAACTTGATTTTTTTTCTTTCAAGGCAGAACTTGAAGGACTGAAAAATCAACAAATCTTGCTTAATCAAGTTGGCAATGTCAACAGAAAAGCCTTTTAGGCACTGTATTTAATATATGTATGAATCATGAGCAGCAAAAGTACATATTGTTGCAGAAAATGTACAAAAGCTGTTGTTTTGAAAGTTATACAGCCTGAAGCAGCTATCCCAACAGGGCCTTTGTCAAACAAGGATGTTCTGCAATGAATTAATTACTCAGCTAAGTATGCCAACATATTTATAGGGGTGGTCCTTGGTGCATCTGTTCCAGCACACTCAGTGTAAAACTTACTAGAAACATCTCCAGAAGCAATCTAAGATTTAGATGCCTATAAGATTTACATGATTCGACAGTGCTAAGGAAGATAAAAGCACCTTGCCCACACAGGTAAAGAAAATAAAACCTAAAAACTCTTGGCTTCAGTCTCATGCAGTCTAAAAAACTTTTGCTCCTAAGATCATACTTGGAAACTGATATTAGGATGGATGAAAGGTGTGGGCTTCCACAAGACCATCAGAGAATTTTTTACTTACTGGCATTGCTTCATGGTTAGTGTGTGATTTCTTCTTTTGTGAGCAACTTTTCTTTGCAATCAGCTGATGAGTCTGTCAGCAAAGAAGGTCTAATGAGATTCTTTGAACCAGGCTGTAGGCTTTTCTAATGACTAACATTTGTCCTTAGCTGATGATCCTTTCAAAAATTCATTTTGTGTGCTGCACCTAATCTACCTTCTTGACAGCTCCAAGCACCTAAATGAGCAGAACTTTTCTCTCCTGAGGCTGAAACTGAACCTTTGTTTACATGTAACTTGATAAAAGCATTCATCAGAAACCTTAAAGGGGCTATTTTCTAGGCATATAGAAAAACTTTATCTTGTTTAAGGTCTTATTGGCAAAAGCCAAAACCAGTGTCTGAGAATGTTACGGATCTGATACCAGTAGTAGAATTGCTTTTCTGATGGGATGGGAAAGAAGTTCTTATCTATTTATCTGAGCTGCTATTGGTTGTATTATATGCATGTGTCATTTCAAAGTGAATAGTAAATGTTTCCTAAGACTGTGGTTCCTGGGTGACTTTTTATTTCCCAGAAGCTCAGAAATGTTCTCTCTCTCTGAATAAGGACACAAGTTTATTTGTAAAAGCATTGGCAATTCTTGTATTTCTATCTTCTGAATCAGCCTTCTTTTCCATCACAGAGCCAAAGAAACTAACTTGTTAATATTTTTTGGTCAAACGTGATCATAGATTAAATAATCCTGCAGATTTATCTCTGTGTAGAATATATTTTGCAGTCTGGAAAGATTTACCCATCACCACATTCTTATGGTGTTTTCAAGTGTTTTCCTTTAAAACGACTTTCTTACCTCCAAAAGGCTATACTATATCCTATTGTAATTTCCAATATTGTAAGAATACCAAGAGAATTCCAATAAAACATTACCTCCTCTACAAATAAAAAATTCCATTTAAAAAAACTTGAGAACTCTTGTTTTGCTATGGCTACAGTCAGCTTTGTCTTCTACTAGAGCTAATTTAACATTTAGAGGGCACCCTCTCAGTCTGTACAAGTACACAGAAAGAAAATCTGACAAGGAATGAAACTTCAGACTCTAACACAGCTGTACTGAATGCCTCTTCTGTTCTGCCAGACTATCTTGCTTTTTCTTCTGTGCAGTCTGAGAAGCCCAAATCTAATTAAACAGCAGAGAAAAATGAGACATGTAATTGATCTGTGAGAGGAGAAAGGGGAATAAATTAGCATTGAAAAGTTTAAAATAAAAAGTAATTTCAGTGTATTTTTCAGATTGGCATTTGAAACAATCCATTTGTTTTGGAAGCTATTTTTACAGTTAGCCAAGAGATAATCCACTATTTCCCCCACCATGCTTTTTACTTTCAAAAGCAGAAATCAAATGCTCTTGATACGCCTTCTCGATACAAAAGCAAAAAAAGCTTTCCTAACATCCCATTTTCTTGTCCTAGCCTTGTATCTTTTTTATTCAGCTATATTTTATACAGTTTCTCTTCATGAAGTGCCACCTGGCCTGTTACATTTGGCTTTGGTAGAGCATTTTAAATATTTGAATAAGGTGTACCTAACCCATTAAAAGACGAAGTCTGAGTTTCATGATTCTTACTGAGCAGGGAAGAATGAGATTAGAAAGAGCTTGAACTACCCTTCATATTATCACATTGTCATATTCAAAGAATATTTAATAGTCTTATTCTGAGTGTAGTCTGCAGAATTATTTTTACAGGTCATACAAGCAGATGTACAGTGCACTTCATAGTCTAACTTTAAAGGTACTATTATTCCATATCTGCTTACTTAGTACCTGCTCTGACTCAAAGCACATCAACATGCAAATAAGGACATAAATCTTGAGGGGAAGGAAATGCAACAGAAACTTGGCTGTAAATGAACAAAGTTTAGCAATCAGTCAAATATGCAGTATTACTCCATATTTGGTGCATCACAGTTTGCTTCTAGTCTCTCTGATCTCAGCATGTTAAATGTCTCCAGAGCTTTTATTTGACTCACCCATGACATGATCAGAGATGTCATGGGATGCAGCTGGGCAGTGCAAATGAGCACTGGGTAGGGATGTTAGGGCTGTGGTAAAACACACGGTTCAAAATGCTTGATAATATCCTCTTGTAGTGTCATAATCTCAGTGCCAAATAGTACCATTTTTTCAAAACTATGGAGCATGCTAAAGTGCCTCCACTTTCCCTCGTATCTTTTAAAATAGGATCTCTTGTAAACCTCACAGGCTTTCTTCACCTGCTTACGTTATGAACACAGCAGGATCTTTTGGTGCCTCCAGTGAGTTATGTGGTTGTAAGTATTACACAACTTACAAAAATGCAGACCTGTTTTTTTTTTCAAGACTTCAATGATTCATAATTCATTTAGAGGTGGATGGAGAGCACAAATTCTCATTCATATCGAGAAAACATGAAAAAATATATTTTTCTTCTTCTGCCCTTGAAAGGATAAAAGGTTCTATTTTAGTGATACTCTGAGATAGATTAGGCAAAAATCAGCTGGAAAATGAGGGAAAAGGCCTTTACTCTCTCCCTCTAAGGAAACGAAGACACAAGGTATCTATTGCAACTGTAAGAATGAGATATTAGCAAGGCTGAATTACATATGCAATTGGTGAATCGTGTTGGAAAGTGGTGCAGTCTGTTACTGAGGATCATGTGGGGCACTGGCCTTTGGAATCAGAGAAAAACAGATCTGAGGAAACTGACCTATAGTGCACATATAACTTTGATTTGGGGGATTTTCCTAAACACAACTGTTCACTTCACATTCAGCTCCTGAAGAATGTGAGACATCTTTCCTGAGAAATTCTATAATGTCTCACTTTCGGTCACATTTTAGTGTTTGTGATTTTACTTTGAATGTATCAGTTGTTTTTTTCTTGTGATGAAGTTGCAAAACTAGCACTAGAATTAATACAGAGAGAAAAAATGGTGGGTGTTATCAGATTGAGACTATAAATGTCTCCATTCAGAAAATGAAAATGTTGTTTTTTCTGTTGACAATTTGAATTAAAAAATTTTACCTGGACATGAAAAGTCTCCAGTGAGATACTCTTGTGAGCACAAAATAAGGGTGAGTTGTTACTAAGGTGACTGCCATGATCATGATCTTTTGCAGTGATGTCCATCGTTAGATAAAATGTCAAAGTATTTAGGTGGGTGCATACAAAGGCATAGGAGACCCCTGCGGTCCTATAATTCAGCTTTCCACTGTAAGTGATGAATTGTCATTTCTGCTAATCTGAGTCTCTACTGGAAATCAGAGCATAAAAATATAAACCCTAAAATAATCCAACATGAGCTACAAATTTTGATTAGACTCATGAAAATATAATACATTTTCAAGAGAATGGGATAGCATTCTTAAGACTGTACTTCACACTTCACAAACACTTTTGATGGCTGGATATTTGTTATTGGTTTTTAATATGAATAAGCTCTTTGCTTACTCATTAGGCTGAATTCTCCATATGTGTGTCCCATTACGCTTCCCCTGCCAAACTAACTGGCTCTTGTCCTCTTCAGGGTACTTCTCGGGTGTAGTCTCTTTGTCTGCTATTTCTTCATAGAAATAGGAACTCAAGGTCTACTTGTCTTAGTCTTACATATCAATCACTCTACATATTTTACAGTAAAGGAAAACAGACTTCTCTTGTGGGTTTACAGGCATTGACACTACTGGGGTTATACGGGTATGTGGAAGAGTAGAGATTTGCCTTGATAGTTTAGAGCATAAAGTAATGGCATGAAGCTGTTCCAGGGGACATTTAGGTTGGATATTAAGAAAAGGCTCTTCACCCAGAATGTGTTTGGGCACTGGAACAGGCTCCCCAGGGAAAGGCTCACAGCTGCCCATGTTCTTCTTGATGCACCCCAGGATACCCTTGGCCCTTCTGACCACAAGGGCACAGTGATGGGTCATAGTCAACTTGTCATCCACCAAGACTCCCAGGTCCTTTTCAGCAGAGCTTGTCTCTAGTAGATCAGCCCCCAGCCTGTGCTGGTACTTGGGGCTACTCCTCTCCAGTTACTCCTATGCAATACCCTACACTTGCCCTTGTTGACCCTCATTAGATCTCTGTGCAATTCTCCAGCCTATCAAGGTTCCACTGAATGGCAGCATAGCCTTCTGGTGTGTCAGACACTCCCTGCAGTTTTGAATCATCAGTAAACTTGCTGGGGCTACATTCTATGCCTTCATCCAGGTTGTTGATAAGCAAATTGAATAAGACCCGACCCAGTATTGATCCCTGGGGAATGCCACTGACTACAGGCCTTCTGGATTCTACTCCACTGATCACAACCCTCTGAGCTCTGCCATTCAGCCAATTCTTGATCCACCTCACTAATCTAAACTGCGTTTCCTGAGCTTACCTATAAGGATATTATGGGAGACAGTGTCAAAAGCCTTGCTGAAGTTGAGGTAGACAACATCCACTGCTCTCCACTCATCAACATATTCTGCCATGTCGTCATAGAGGGTTATTACATTGGTCAAGCATAATTTTCCCTAATGGCCTTCTTTTCTTCTTTTCTTCTATCTTAGCTAGTGTCAGTGTGGGAATTTGAGAGGAGCCTCTACAATTGACCCCAAAAAATTCAGACAGAAATTACTAGAAAGACATAATTTTTAAGAGTTTTTAAATTTGTCTACAATTGGAGATTATGAGGATGGAAAAGTAAATTTGCAGTACAGCTAAATCTGCATTGAAAATGAAGAAATAATATGAAAACCAATGCAAAAAATGAATAATTTTGTTGTTGGTTCCCCCCTTCCATGCCATGTTGTATCTTTGGCTTATTGAATTTCCAGGTGTCTTTTTTACTTTCCTGTGTACTAAATAAGTAATGATGACTTGTATTATCTGGCTCATCACACAGAATAAAAAAAACAAACCAAAAAACCCAACCAAACAAAAAAAACCCACATAAAAACACCACTAAAATACTATTTTTGGCATATGCTGCTTTTCATGTAATGAGTAATTTGGTTGAAATTAAATGCTTTCATTATGAATGCTCTACAGTCCTAGAATC